TGTGTTCTGCTTGCCTTTGATTCAAAGGTGACTGAAGAAAATTATAGGAGCGGCTTCCAAGTTACAGGAGCCCAAAAGGAATGCAGTTCCTCCTGCACTCACCCTGCTGGCATGGTGCTTGTGAACTGGCAGGGAAGTGAAATGAATGACAGTACCGTCTCAGAAGTGCCCAGAGAAGGATTCTTATCAAATGCTGTCTCCTGCTAAGTCTCACAAGCCAGCCTGCAATGATGGGGAGAAGTATTTGGCAGCAAGGCCCTAGTTTTCAACATCAAACTAGGGGGAAGGAATGAGTAAAAGTGACACTAGCTGGGACAGGGCCACTTTTTTTTCCTGTATGATAGACAGTCTCCAGAAATTTTAGGGAAGTGTATGGGTGCATTTATCACGCTGGTAAAGCTGTGTTGTAAGGTTTGATTTTCCTTGTGCAGTATCTGAAGCAAGTTGCTGTGAGAGTGCCCACTGGCAAGAAAAAAAACACGGTATGAAAGAGCAGCAGGAGTGCATTAGGAATTCTCACTGATGGGCAATGCATGGAAGACACAGAGGACAGCAGGCCTCTTGCTCTTCAGAGGTGTCGGTGTGTGACAGTTCCACTGGGATGTGTGAACAAAATGTAAGGGAGCTTGTTTCCTTCCTCTCTCACACTGGAAGACATTTGTTGCATGCATTTGTCAGTCAGGTAAAAATCCTCCTTATAGTGTTAATGACACCATCAATTTTGCAAGGTGCAAGTCTCGTGTCAGGCCAAGGAAAAGGTGTTATAACACACAAACGAATTCAGAAGCATCATATTTTTTTCCATACCCACTTTGATACTCTCATATGGCATGGGAGCTCCTACCCAGATATTCTGCTCCTAAGTGAAGGCAGTAAAATTAGTTCTGATTGTTCCCCTCCTGTGAAATGGTACTGACTCATTTTTCTCCCTTCCTACATGCTTTTCTCAAGTCAAAATTACGTTAGCTCTCGGGCAGCTGCTTTCTTCCTTGACAAAGTCAACTTCCTTTGGGGGAACAGAACAGCAAGGGGCACTAATTACTAGATAACTGGAGCTGCATGAGAAGGTGACACAAGCTGCAGAGCTCAGAATAGTGCATATGAGGAAGGATGTTGGATATTGGCATTACAAAAGAGGAAGTGTGAAAGGAACAAAAGAAACATGAAAGCTGTCACTATTTCCAGAAAGAGGGAAGAGAATTAGGAAAGAGATCTCTGATTCACCATGGACTTCAGGAAGTTGGCTTTATCTGCAAGAACAAGACTTGGACTAGATGTGAGGACAGTGAGAAGCTTGAAGAAAAGTGGGTGATATAAGAGGACTGCAGAGCAACAGCTGGATGTTCCTGTTTCAGCAGGAAAATTCTGGATAGGCTCAAGGTGAATATTTCGATGGAAGAGGGTGACGTATTTGAAAGAGGAATGAACATGGAATAATGGTCATTAGGAAAGGAAGGAGCTGAGTAGAAAGTGTTTGAAGGATCAGAAACATAATTTCATACAAACTGGATACAAGACGAGCAAAAGGAAAACCTGTGAACAAGTGCATCTGGAACAGTGAAGAGGGGTATCAATTAAAACGTGTCCTAACTCCACTGTGGTTTTTTATTATTTTGCAATATTACAGCAGGCCTCAATAATCATTTCGCCTCCCTTTCTTCCACGCATGCAATCTGGCCACTTTGAGTACCTCTGCTGACACATGCCTGGGCTGCTTCATTTCACTGTGCCACTAACAACTGCTACTTTAACTGCAACTTTTCTACGTCCCAGTTTCTTTTTGTTTATCTTCTTAGAGGTGATACTGGAAAAAAATTCATTATTGTCCATAAAATTATTTGATGAAGTTGCTATGGTGACGCAAATTATATTGACTTCTTACTATAGTCACAGAAAAGAAATATTGGGTAAATTATTATGCTGGAGTTAAATGGGCAGATTTCTACTGGGCTGGGCAAATTTAGGCTACTCAAAAGTTCATCACTAGCCCTAGATTGCTGCATATGGTCAGTGAGTGGCCCGGTTCTAGCCATGCAGCTGCTCTGGAGTTCTACATTGCCAGAGATGCGTGAAAAAATGGACCATACAGTGGCCGTGGACACGGGCAGATGTCATAGAGAGCTACATTTGGGAAGCTGGTGTTTCCTGCTGTCTTGTTCTATATCTTATATCTCTAACTCAGATGCTAACTTCTTGGGGCTGACATCAAATTCACCTTTCCTGAAAAGTTGGGGAAAATACTATAGCCCTTAAGAGTAAATGAAACTACAGTGATCCTTGAAATGGGTCATGTGAAACATCTGGATTGTAACTGGTTTCCAAATCATTTATACAACACTGATAGACTGTTTCCCAACCTTATGGACGTGGCTTCTCTGCCTCTGCTTTCCCTTCCCATTGCATGCAATAGTATTATTCCCTTGAGCAGTTCCACTGTTCCAGCCCTATTTCAAACTTGTTCCCTCTCTGCAACTTCTCTTCCCCAGCCCTGTTCACTTCCCAGATTATGGTTGCTGGGTTTTTTTGTTTTTGTTTCTGTTAGGACATATGCCCTCATCCTTGGTAATGAGCCTGTGACAGTTTATTAGCATGTGCTCAGCTTTGTGTCTCACTGGCTTTGTGCCTCAGAAGGGCTGATTTCTAATAGGCCTGAAATTCAGCCCAAACACCTGTTTTAAATCTGAAGCCAGTTCTGATTAATAGTGCCCCAACCCACATGTCTCCTAATTGCATGCAATAGTATGAAGTGTGGAGGAAGGGCATGGATGCCAGCAGCACTGGGAACACCAAAGCACCCAGGCAGATCACAGGCATTACAGTGTGGCAGGCACCTCACCGAGTAGAAATGATAGTATTGCAAGAAAATTATATACATAATAAATTACAGAGGTCATGATGAGGCAGTGTTTTCAGTACTGCACAATACACATGGGAAGAAACAGCCCTGTCAGCTTGTTTGTCCTTCCAGGATAGCTGGATGCCAGTGAAATACTGACAATTTTGGGGAGCTTGTGAACACAAGATTCAGCATTTTCACAAAAGCTGGATCCAGATTATGGAAGAACTTTTCACAGGATAAAAGAATGTTGTTTAAGTTTGCTGCTTCACTAAATATAGGACTCCTATCTGCACTAGTTTCTCTTCAGATATATACTCCCTTCTCGAGCACACCCAGGCACACAAACAAAAACAAATGAGTTATAAACTAATCAAACTTGTTTTCTTCAGGTTGGAAAGGAAAAGAGATAATATTTTGATTTCAATTTCCAAATCTTTGGGAGGTGCTCAGATATTATCTATCACAGAGCTTAAAGCTCCTCACTGGAATGGTATCTAGTGGCTCCCAAGCAATTAAAAAGCAACAATTACAAAAATATATTTTCCCATCACTTCTATCTCCCATTTCTGCTTATGAACAAACATAACAAGCAGAATTTTTAACTGTGGAGTAAAACTGTGAGGTTTCTGTGCACATGAAGGGCTGTAAAAAAAGGCAAAATTTATTTTTGGTTTTGGACCTCTAAGACCGAGGTCACTTTTTGTTCCCTTAGGAATGAAATATTTTGTCCAAATCTGGTCTCAGTAACTCCTAGAGTCACAAGCTTCCTCTGTTTGGATAGTTTCACTGTTCCTGAAGAAAAAAATGGGCATCGTCAGAGAAGAACTGATGAAGCCTAATTTACTTAGGCCTATTCCATGGAATTTCTCCAAACAGGAACTTGGGATGTTGAAATCCAGCTCCTAGCTGGAGTTAGCATAAAAAATACCAGCAGTGTCAAAATTGTTTATATCTCTGGTTTACCATATAACCTAGAAATAATATAAAAAGATGATCACAGCAATGTATGTTGCTGTATCAGTAGTCTATAGCAGCCTCTCTGTTCTCATGGTGGGCAGCTCTATGCTAAAGCTGTCTTATGTCAGTCTGCTGCTGTATATGTCAGTGATTTATTTCCCCAGCATGGATACTTGGGACTCCAAAAGCCGTTTAGACGGAGCCAAGAAATACAAATACAAGAGTATTTTCAAAGAGCTTGGCATTATGAAGGAAGCAAGTTCTACATGTGCAAGCCCTCTTTACACACACAAGTGGCATTATATGGGTTCAGTTTTCGCCAGATGTCTTTCCTCTGACACCAGTTTTCCTTACGCATTATAAACAGATAATCCTACTTATACGTCCAGTCAAGCAGACAGAGCCGAGTATCATTTGTATACTTCTGTTCTTTAAGTTGCCTAATAAATATTTCATTGGCTTCATGGATGAGGGACAGTTACAAGACAACTCCTCGGGAAGCACTTCTGGGAGAGGAAGAACTTTTGTCTGCTGGAATCCTGTGGTTTTGCTGTGTTATTTGCTGCAGTGTGTTTGGGATGGGGGAGAAGAGCCCTGTTGTAAGGAGTAATGGAAGTTGCAGATTGGAGGGAGGCTGGAACAGCGCTTTGGCAATGCACAGTGGGAGGTGAGGACTCCAAGTAGCTGCTCCTCACTGTCCACCACTGGGATATAGGTAACCATGTTTACAGATGTGGGTATCAGGTTTGGAGAACGCACCTGAAGGAACAGTTAGCTGACTTTTATGAACAGAAACCAAGTAACTTCGTACAAAATTCCTGGCTGCCAAGGGCAGAGCCACTAAGTCCAAGAGCCCTGAGAAGTATTAGCAGAATAGCAGAACAGTGGGAGGCTAATCATGAAAGACCTGAGAACCACCAATGTTTTTATGCTGGCCGTGATGTCATTAAAGAATTTCTGCGTGACTTTAAATAAACAACCTCGAATAGAAGCCCGATAAGGAACGAAGAAGCTCCTCCGGGCCCAAATCGATGACCTGGAACCGATTTTTTTTTTTTTTCCCCCTTTACTCTTTCCCTTGCCTCAGGTGACACCGAAAGGAGTTTCCACAAAAACCTTTCAGGCTGAGAAATACAAAATTACTTCCTTCAGGGACGGACCCCCCCCCTCACACATACACACACTCGCTCGACGAAAACTTTACCCTGCGCTGAATCCAAATAGGGGCCCATCGACCCTCCCCAGGGGAGCGTGCCCAGGGAAGGGGATGCTAGAGGGAGGTGATGCCATCGGGAGGGATGCCAGACGGAGGATCCCGCCCTGGAGGGGATCCCGAGCCCTC